GAGAGAGATTCTTTTGAATCTGTCTGATTCATATCCTACACTGAGATAATTAGGTAATGATTTAAATGTCTCCTTTTCAAAGAGGTGCTGAGAGAAGAACCAGACTAACGTGCTGGTGAACAAGAAGGGCTCTGGAGTTTGAGCATTATGTCTCCTGGCTTCGTGACTTGGAAACTGTTACTCAAGACATCCATGCCTTCATTTCCCCATCTGTAAGTGGAGGTAGGAACAGCACCTACCGTCATAGGATAATGCAAAGATTAAATTAAAAATACAGCCATGTTTCTTCCCACAGCTGTTTACAAGACGACTGGCTCAGTGAGCCTTTAGTGTGACTGTAGTTATTATCATCATCATCACCATCATCATGCCACATCTACATCCAGGTTAACTGCTAGCTATGAATTTACAGATCTTTTAGTCAGACAAAATATCAGAAACCAGCAACTCCCCTTTCTTTCTTTGGTGAAGTAAAGTGACTGGATTAGATATTTTACAAGACCATTGCCAATTATAAAATCCTGTACTCTTTTTGGTAGAGCTATCACATAAAATCCCCTCAACTGAAATATTTCTAGATTCTTACTATTGAGCTAATAAATGATGTCAATCAAAATATTTTACCCAGAGAAGGGGGCATAATAGGGCTGTAAATGAAATTAAGAAATTGTCATGTATTATACAACACTCACCAATATTTCAATGAGTTAAATGAAATCTCCTGAAATCAGGTTTGCATAGTATAGTTCAGTACACCTCCCCACTAAATAGACAGCTGTAAGTGCCTTTTAAACTTTCCATGTTCTCTAAGTCACTCATTCTTAAAGTGCTGTCTCTACACCAGCAGCACAAGCATCGCCTTGGCACTTAAGAAATTCACAGTTTACAACTTTATTCCAGAGTCCCTGCCTCAGAAGCTCCTGGTGAAATCCTGTAATTTGTGCTCTAACAGGCCTGCTCAGGATCCTGAGGATGTTAAAGATTGAGAATCACCGGTGTGAATAAAGACTGGAAAAGCAAGTTCTGCCTATGATAAACATTTACTGAGGCAGCAGAAACTAAAATTGATTCTAGCCTTAGAAGACATATAAAGAGAAAGGTCTAGTAGAAATAATTAAAAGTCAAGAAACTAATCAATTCACTGATAAAGAGGCTAGGAAGTCATTCTCAACTATTCCCTCTAGAGAAACAGGTACTAAGAAGAGTAAAAGAGAAGTTCAGTAAAATCTTCAGAGAATACCAGTGTAATCATTATAGAGTAGTTCAAAGAAGAATGAATAATGTTCCATCCTTCTGCTTAATGTAGAGAACCATAGACACTATGTGCTGTATGTACCTTACATGAAAGGGATAAGAAAATTATTGGTCTCTTTATTTTGATAATAAAAACAAATTAGAAACCTAGGAACTTCAAATACTCATTTATAAAAGTGTCCATGAAATACAGAAAATATTTAATCATCTGTGCCTCTTTATTTGCCTGAAAATTATAAATCATTTCATTAAATGTTGCATTAATAAAATCATTTGATTTAGTAAAAATTACAAATATTCAAACAATGTTTAAGGTCAAGAAGAGAATGTAAGCATCAGAACTTTAGAAAGACAAGCGATTTTATTTGCTTCTATATCCTTGCTGTCATACACACTAACGCGAGACCCTTTTTGTAAATCTGCCATTTCTGATTAACTCATGTATCACCATCAATAAATAAAAACTAAAGAAATTCAACCTTGTCCCACAAACCTTTCCTCATTGTCTTCTCAGTTAATGGTATTAAATTTCCCAAGATAAAAATCAGAAAACACTCTTTTCCTTTCAACTCGTCCTCTGCTCTCCTACTCTCTACCCAGTAATATTTGTCAAGTCTGTTCATTTAATTATATAATTTTTAGAAGATGTTTTCACTCTTTTTTGTTTGACTGCTTTTATTCATATTCCTCCATTTTTCCCTGTCTGTCTTCACAACTAGTATTTAAGACTTAAAAATGGAAATGATGCCTCCTTAGTTAAATACCCTAAGGCCTGGCACATTAAGCGTCTAAAATGTTCCCCTGGCCAATACACTTACAAGGCACACAACTTCATCTGAAGTCTCAGAGCCTCTGTGATTGGAAGAGCCACCAAACTCTCCATCCTTTCCAGAGAAAACTAATATTTGAGAAACTTGTGAAAGAAGAATACCTGTTGAGTCTACATTTGTATTTTTAGGATCTTTGTAAGTATTCTAATAATAAGATTTATGGGATATTTTATATTAGATCATTTTTCTTGACCTCATTTTATGTGTTACATTTATTTTGTGTAGTTAAATATTTTTGTTTTAATGTTTTGATACGTAGCTTCAATGATGTCAACAAAATCAATGACAATGTGCTGTAGTCTTTGAGGATGGATACTTATGAACCTGGCAGTTTGGGAAATTATAATAATACATGTACAAAATGCTTACCATGATCACAAGAATTATCAAAGAAATTATACTGTATGTTTTCAATCATCACCAAAAAAGCCAAAGAAATTATACCTCATAAGATTAAAAAACCTGGTATTTTTAGGGGTTGGTGATGTAGCTCACTAGCAAAGTCATGGCCTACCATGTGCATGGCCCTGGGTTTGATTCCTAGCATGGCAAATAAAGAAAAAGAAAATCGAGACCTATTTGCTACTTACAACACAGTAATTTATGAAAAATGTCTTTCCAAAATATATTGGCCCTGCTTAAGAGTTATATTACCTATGAAAATCACAGATACACAGCCAAGCTCTAATGGAGCTTGACTGTCCATGCCTGGAGGATATCTTCTGTGTCCTATGCTATGGTGCTTTGTGTTGTTAACACTTGATTTCCCTTGTACAGTACACCAGGAACTCTGAAGTAGATTGCAATTTTTTTCAAAAGTATAACGTTCAAACAAAAAGATACAATTCTTGTTTATTCTTAGTGCTTTCACCAAAGAGGAATTCTAGAATGTTCAAATACAAAAGGAATTCTTGGCAAGCAGAATGATACAAGAGAAACCTTCCAGAAACACATGGTCTGGGATACTTCAGACTCTTGGCAGATTGCAAACTTTTACTGCCTTTTATTAATAATCAGCAGGCAGATCAAGTGCCTCTAAGTAACAATACCTACTTGTGAGACTAGTGTTAGGTCAGAATTTGAACATCTTCCAACACTGTCATAATAGCAGCTATCTTTTCCAGATACCGAATTGTTATTTTGTAAACACAAATGTCATAATCTAAAGAGACATTGAAATATACAGCCAATGTTCTCTCAAAAACAGAACAAAGAAGGTTCTTCAGGAATAAAAATTTAAAAATATATTTAATGGAAATTTTGCTCTATTGCTGTCCTGCAATCTAAAATGATCAATACCAGCCTCAACATCTTTCTTCCGGTGGACAATACAGACATAAAACAAGAGGGTATACAATATAATACATTGCTACTACAAACTGCAAATGCTTTAGAGATATTATTGTGCAATGAATTTCAAAATCATAAGGTGATTGTGGGGCCACCCTAACTTGCACAGATAAAGACAGAATCCTATTAATTTCCATCGAGGTATTCTGTAATTCTTTAGTGATGAAACTCTGGGACATAAAATAAAACATGTCTTTAGATATTGTTGCTATTACTTGTCTGCCTCAACCTGGATTTGTTAAAGTTTGCAAAGATTGATGGGGTGAGCAGATTGTCTTATCAGTGAAGTTTTAGAATGATAAAAAATTAACCCACAAACAAGTATAGTATATGAAACAAACAACAAGAACAGCGCAAAGCAACAAGCATTGAAGTATTGTTATTTAGGGAGCTGTTTTATGAAAGTCTGGGTTCAGATAAGGGTGAGGAATGAATGTGGATGAGACATAAGAATGGGCCATGGAACACAGGCTCCTGGGAAGACAGGATGACACACAGCCATGAAGTTCTCTTGCTAATAATGGCAAAGATTTTGATAAAAGTCCTCCAGGAAAGCAACGATAAGGGTAGCCATAGAAGAGCTTGCTTTAAAAGAATGTCACACCTCTTATTCGTCTATCCTGTGCAGAAATGGAGATTTCTGAAGTAGCAAATAGGACAGAAATTCCTAGAGGCCTAATAACACACATTTCATAAAATTTTACTTTTAAAATACAGCCTGTGAGCCACTGCAGTATCTGCAATGTCTTTGCAATTAGTCTCTTGGTCTTAATATAAGGAAGTGAAGAGTTCAGTGTCACAGGAAACAGAATCAAACAATTCAGACAGAGGAGAGTGGCAAAGGTACACAGAGAAAAACATACTGCTTATTTATGCCTGTTTAAAATTTCTTCACTTCTTTAGTGGCCAAATACAGGGATCAGAGAAAAAAGAACACATTGTGTTTGTAATTTCAGTTTATTTTCTCATGATAACAATAAAGTGGAGCTACATTCTTTGTCAACTGTAAATTTTATATAGGCCTGGGGTCAGAGTTCAGCTGCTATTCAGTAATCACTTTTCTTTCTTTCTTTAGATCTCAATTTAAATGAATCCACTAGACTGGATTAAAGGACAATATCAAAATTAGATCCTGTAAACTCACTTTTGCAGTCAGATGCAGAAAGTCCAGAACAAACAGGTTAAAAGGGAAAACAACCAAATCATTCACAATTTGATAGTGCGGGATGTCAGAAAATGGAAGACCAGAGGAAAAACACCTACATGTACACAGTTGTCACAAACAACATAACATGTTGTGCATTACATTGAGACAATTGCAATTTATGAGACATCTACACAGGTAGCTTTTTCTCTTTAGCCATCAATTACATTTGACTTTGCCGTGTGGAAGTACATGGGTGGGGTGACAGTTGTAAGATACGCAGGGTGTACTTAAGAGTGGTTTTCTGTTATAATAGTTCTGATTTTGATCTTCGTATCTCTTAGAATTTCAGGGCATTCGAACATACAAAGAAATTTCCTGCAGGAAAAAAAAAAAACTAAAAACTGTACTATTGCATGTACCTGTTTTTCTCCACTTGGCTTTTTGTGGTTCAGTAGCAGCTCAACAGCTCCAACGACCTCTTTTCTGATAGCGTGCAACAGAGCATCTCCAACGTAGACATTGAAGCTTAAGAGCAGCTCAATGAGTTCTAAGTTCTCATTTTCAATTGCAATCAGGAGAGCTGTCCTTCCGAGAGGATCAATGCAATTAATATTGATTTTAAAATAAATTTCAGCTTCCTCTAGGGATTTCTTGACGCTTGCGTAGTCTCCCTTCTCCACGGCATTCAGGTAGGCTTTTTCTGAAGGTGAGAGTTCTGATTCTGCTCGAACAATCCTCAGAGGGATGCGATCTCTGTAGGGCGCATTCACATTTCTTTTGTAATAGAACTGAGCCATGTTTCATGCCATCCTATTTCTTTATCTCTGAAAGTACACACACAAAAAAATACACAGGTTAGCGTTAGGATACTTTTTAAGTAATTAGGAATCTTATTTGTTTCCCAACTTACCATGGTATCCATGACAATAATATCGTTATTGTTAACTAAGGAAGCTAGAGATTCTATTTTCTTAATTTTAAGAATTTTAAACAATAGAAATAATCTTAAAATTTATTTGGTTAGCTGAAAACACAAGTGACGAAGTCCTAACCTAAGAAGACCAGAAAGATATTTGGAAAGTCATTTTATGAGTCACTTTACAAGTTACATGTAGAAGAGACTGTGATTAGAAAGTTTTGGAAATTATTTAGCTAGTATATATAGTTTGGGAAACCATATATATAATTTTTAGGATAGTACTTTGAAAATCAGAAGCCATTTGTCTGATGTCCTGAAACCGTATCAGTGAATGTTAAAATACATCGTATTTGGCCAATTTTGCTAATCGCAAACATGATTATGGGACATTAGACTGGCAAAATACTTTTCATTTATCATATATTCTATTTTTAATATTATTAGTGTTAAGGTCAAAGTTAATGTGATTTAATGACACTAATGTCAATAAAATACACTAAGCCTAATGAACATAATTTTATTCTACTCTCTGTTCGTAAGTGAATTCATGTGTCGTAATGACACATTAATTATTCAGATGAGACTAAGCAATGACATTTCCAAAAGAAAGAAATTGAAACAGGATTAAATAGAGAATATTATGAAAATGCTATTCTTTAATTCTCTCACTTTGGTGTGGTGAACAATAAACCACAAGGTAAGAATGTGTTCATTATAAAATTTATTATTTATAATCTTAAGTTAATAAAGACACTGGAATCTTTATTGATTTAGTATCATCCTAGTTTAAAAAATACATGGATATATAACATACACAGACATATTATATATACAAATATATATATGTTATATTTTGAATATATGTCCTTTCTTGGATTTAGTTTCTTCTTTCACCTCTTTTATTCAGTACTGTTAACTAAACACAGAACTTTTTTGCTAAGCTACATCTGTAGCTCTTTTTATTTTTATTTTTAATTTGTGACAGTCTTCTTAAATCATTCAATGGCTTGGGCTGGGCTCCAATTATGAATCCTCATGCCTCCATTTCCCATAATCCTGGGATTACAGGTATGTTCCACTAAGCCCAGTTCTACACTTGTTATTTGAAATATGTTATTCTCATATGTATTTAAACATATATGTTTATTTACATATGTCTGCTATGTAAAGTTAAAATGAACTGGTCATTTTAATTGCCTAAACATTCATATTCATTCATAGTAATTCATCTCTACAGACTTCATCAGGTTTTGAGTAAACCAACCTGATTTGGATGGCATTTAATGCTATGCACAAAGATATATTGATTAAATGGTATAATCATATTTAATATTTGCAGTTTGGGAAATTGTGACTTGTTGGTGTGCTACTCCAATTTATTAGTGAGCTCAAAAGCCAAGTAGTTTAGCTTCACCCTTTGATATCCAGATTGCTCATCATGGTTTCTCAAATATCTGGATAAAAAGGTCTAATATACAAAATCTTTATTTCATAAGTGTTTCTACTTGGCATATTAGACTTATTTTGTTAAGGCACCTTCCCTGAAAAAGTGAAATTGTATGTTGAATATGCATTAATTATAAATGTGCAAATTACTTGGGTAAAGTATGATTATAATTTCAGTATTTTGAGGAATCATTCTGAACTAACAATAATAGTACATATTTTATAGAACAACAAGGACAAATTAGTAGTTTTCCAGTATAGCTAGAATTTCAGTGAATCAAGGTCTTTATGTTACTATCTGTCTCATGTTAATAATTTGATTTGAATGTCCCATTTATGAATCATTAAAATATTTGCTTTAAAGTACAGCAGTGGCCCAGTTTCCCAAGGTGTAGGAAACAATGGCCTCTTTGCCAGCCCCGTGGTGGTGTAAGTGTGTAGATCATTGCCATAGCCTTCATATACAATTCTCCCAAAACAGCATCTGAATAACTCATCATGATAACTGGCATTTACATTATATCTCAGCAGTGTACGCATTTCTTTAGTATCTCACTGACTTTACTCCATGACTTCTGAAAAACTATATAAATTTTTCTTTCAGAGTTGAGTTCAAGGTTTCTTACTAATAATATTTTTGACTAGAAACGTGTTTCCATACAGCTTACACAAAATAAAGTTTAAAATAAAAATATCTGCACATTCCTGCATGCACGAAGACATGGACACATATCATATCGGATATTCATGTAACCAACAATCTAATCAAGACTGGGCATCAGTCTGAGGGATGGAAGAACTGTATTCTATTATATTTTATTTCAAGTACTAATTTTCTTAATTATGTTTCTGAGCAAAAATTAGGTAAGTTACATTTTACATCTCGGTGATAATGAGTGATTGATGAATGGCAGAGTGGATGCTCAATGACTTTGAGAGGAGAATTTAGATACAATAAAAGCCTGTTTCATATAACTTCCAGAAGGGCAAAGTACACAAATATATTTTTAAAAGAGTGATACTATTCTGAAAGAAAGACGTTCTAAGGGACTGGGGATTTAGCTCAGTGGTACAGCACCTGCCTGGCAAGTGCAAGGTTGTGAGTTCGATTCCCGGTACCGGAAAAAAACCAAAAAAAAAAAAAAAAAAAAAGAAAGAAAGATGTTCTAGTTACTACTGTATTTAAGAGGTGGACTGGAAATGAAATATGCTCATAGCCTATTTCTTATCCATAAAGTGAGGAAATCTTTGCTTAGCAAGGAATGGCTGAGAAGTTAAAAATCAAACAGCTCATGCTGAGAAAGTTCTTTCATTAACTCAAATGACCTCTTTCACCATCTTAAAAAATATTTAAGTACTCACACTACGAAAGCTAAAGATTTTAAATCAGTTCAAAGCACATATACATCAAAAATGGAAATACATACAGTGTAATATTAAAACACAATAGGTAGGGCAAGATGGAAAGAAAGACTGGAGGAGATGAGGGTAGAAATGGATGGAGGCAAAAGGGTATGGAGGGAAAAAGGCATGGGGGGAGGAAGGTGGAGTGATAGAGAAAGAGAGAAAAAGACAGAGACAGAGACGGAGACAGAAAATGGATTGCTAAAACACCAAAATGTAAGAGATTATATAATTTTTCAGCACTTAGACTTGTCCTTCTTGATTACTTCAGATGCAGGGATACTAACTGAAGGACAAAAACCCAATGTTAACATTTTAGCTCTGCTGTGTGAATGTGCTTGCAAGTGCGAGGTGCTGATAAGGTTGATGGGGCTCCTGAGCTTACACCTTATCAGCAACTACAGAATTGCTACTGGATGGAAGGTCTATAAAAGAGCCGGTGACTGAGTATTGAAAATATCTTGACCTAATACATCGAAATAAAAGCCTGTTCTGGTCCCACACGTTCAGAATGAATATTTTGGCGTGAATTTCTTTTTTCTTTCATAAGACTACAGAAATTAACATGCCCTTTCATTGCAATATTCCTCTACATACCAGAAAGGATACAACTCTTCACTGAATTATGTTTCAAAGACTAGCAAAACTAGTAGGGGATGATGGAAAAATCCTCAAATATTGAGATGTGAATTTTTATGTAACCTAAAGTTTTCTCTAAATATGTTACAGATTTAAAAATATAGGACAAGAGCTACCACTGGACACTAATCCTAAGAGAAACTTAAACAATTGTCCCTGAGTATGTAAACCGTCATTATCTGAGCAGCAGATAAATATACAAAACAGAAGGTTCCAGATGTGCAAATGACTCTGAAGGTGTTATGGCTTATATATACATGTGCCCTGGAAGCTTTGTGTGTGCATAGGTGGAGCTTTGGGGTGGTGATTGGATCATGACTCCTTGATGCTCATCAGTGGATTAGTGCACCGATGAAATTAGAGTCCATTGATTATGTGATGTTGACAGGAGGTGGGTCATTGGGAAGTGGCCTGTGGGGTGTAATTCTCTCCCCCGTCCCTTGATCACTCTGTGCTTCCCATTACCATGCTCTGAGCAACCTTTCTCTGCCCTGGTTCCCCACCTTGGAGCCAGCCAACTACAGACTGAAACGTCTATAAACTACTAGGCAAAATAAGCTTCTCTTCCTTTAATTTATGTGTGTCTGGTATTGTGTCTCAGCAATAAGAAAGTGACCAAGAAGGCACATTTTCTACAACCTTGTGAAGTGGAAAAAAGGGTGAACGTTAAGTTCTAGAGAACACAGAGGCAAGGGCATATATGGCAACCTCCACTCTTTGGTCTGTATTGGTGAAGGTAAAATCATCATGTTTTCTCTTAGAGAGGTAGACTCCTGACAAACTGTAAAAGATAGATTTCTATTTGTTGTCAGGATCCTTTCATTTTTTAAAATATGAAATAGCAGCAACGACAAAAAGCACTTTACTAATGTATTATGACATCCCCAAGTCGTGAAGAAAGAAATCAAGATTACAATTTTGAAAATCACAGCCCTTAGGATTTAACAGGAACCGCACTTGAAACTGAATACTTAACATATATCTTGAGGAGGATAGCGTAGGTCCAGCAACAATGTTTACTTAGTGGCTTGGGGTTTTAATCTCATGGAATTTAGAAAACAATGTTTTAGAAATATATGTAGTAAAATTTGAATCTCCACACTGAGTTAGAACATATGCACTGATTTCTTTTCCCCTCTAATTTGTTTTATTTTAATTGTTCTTGTGGATACCAGGAATCAAACTCAGTACCTTTCGCTTGCCAGGCAGGCACTTGTGCTGCTGAGCTGTATCCCAGGCCCTTCCCCTCTAATTTGAAAGGAAAATATTTTCTCTCTGTGTTCCAGCTGCCAACCCAGTCATCTGGATTTGCATCCATTGGAAAGAAAATTATGGGATACCGTTCTCTCCAGTATCTGGGGTCTCAAACTTCCCTGACAAAACTTATTTTACCCTAAGAAGAACACCAAACCTCTT